TGTTGATTTAATATGATGTTTGGGTATGAATGGAATAATGAATGAATGAGCTAATAATTTGACACCATTCTAAAGATTTAAGGCCTGCAATGAATAACCACCTGCTTGCTGGACTGTAATTAAAAGTTGCTAATGAGCACAAGGACTGTACTGCAGTCAGCTGCATTAAGATCACTACTGACTGAAAGGTCATGAGTTCGAATCCAGCCTGGGTCGGAGTGAGCTTCCAACCAATTTGTGTAGCTTGTTGTCGACCTTTGCAGCCTGAAAGACAGTTGCATCTTTCAAGTAGGAAATTTAGGTACCGCTTATGCGGGGAGACTAATTTATGACACCATAAAATCTCCCGCAAGCATGCAAAGAATGAGGAAGTACTTCATCAGTGTCATAAATGGACAGTGAAGCAACAGCTCCCCTGGTGGCCAGAATACCCTCATGAAAAAGCTGGAATGTTAAATAGCCTCTGAGTGTCTGTCTATATATGTTGTCTGTCTATGGCATTGAATGTTTGCCATGTATATGTACATTGTAATCCGCCCTGAGTCCCCTGCGGAGTGAGTAGGGCGGAATATAAATACTGTCAATAAAATAAAATAAAATAAATTCTCGAGTTTGGAAATTACGCAATGTAATCAAATTTCAAATCAAATCTGTGAATCATCAAATCCACCAAAGTCAAAACCACCTGTTGTAATGCAAAGTATAGCAAATTATAAATTCTTTGGGCAGCAACAGCTTGAGGTTCCAATGATATTGAGGTGGGAAATCCACTCTGTGTATTACTTTGGAGTCATCTATGCTGATCAATGTTCTGAAGCATGGGCTGCAAAACACAGCTTCAGCACTTTGGACAGCCCCATCAAAACCCAAAGTGGATCCATTGCTTTGCTGACATTAGAGCAGCGTTTCTCAACCTAAGGATCGGGACACCAGGGGGGTCACAAGGGGGGTGTCAAAGGGGTCACCAAGGACCATCAGAAAACATAGCATTTTCTGTTGGTCATGGGGGTTCTGTGGGGCAAGTTTGGACCAATTCTATCGTTATTGGGGTTCAGAATGTTCTTTGATCGTAGGTGAACTACAAATCCCAAAAACTACAACTCCCAAATGTCCAGGTCTATTTTCCCCAAACTCCAGCGGTGTTCACATTTCTGCATATTGAGAATTTGTGCCAAGTTTGGTCCAGATCCATCATTGTTTGAGTCCACAGTGCTCTCTGGATGGAGATGAACTACAACTCCAACACTCAAGGTCAATGCCCACCAAATCCTTCCAGTATTTTCTGTTGTTCATGGTAGTTCTGTGTGCCAAGTCTGGTTCAATTCTATCATTAGTGGGATTCAGAATGCTCTTAGACTGTAGGTGGACTATAAATCCCAGCAACTACAACTCCCAAATGTCAAGGTCTATTTCCCCCAAACTCCAGCGGTGTTCACATTTGGGCATATTGAGTATTCGTACTCAATATTTGGCCCAGATCCATCATTGTTTGAGTCCACAGTGCTCTATGGATGGAGGTGAACTACAACTCCAACACTCAAGGTCAATGCCCATCAAACCCAGTATTTTCTGTTGGTCGTGGGAGTTCTGTGTACCAAGTTTGGTCCAATTCCATCATTGGTGGAGTTCAGAATGCTATTTGATTATAGGTAAACTATAAATCCCAGCAACTACAGCTCCCAAATGACCACTTTAACTGCCATTGCTCCATGCCACAGAATCCTGGAATGTGTAGTCTTACAAGTTCTTTATCCTGTTTGTGCCTCACCAAACTACAAATCCCATAATTCCACAGCATTGGGCCACAGCAGTAAAAGTGGCATCAAACTCCTCATTTCCTCTCCAATCCCGTTTCCTCCGTTGGTCAAAAATGCTTGAATTCAGACTTGGGCACAGAAACAGGTTTGTTGTTGATAGGGATTCAATTACTCATTTGCCGGCAGTACCTTAATTATGTTTCTAATTATGTTTTAGTCCAGATACTGGATTTAATTCAGCATTTTAATGCTCCTGATTAATTTGACTTCCCTTCCAGCAGAGTGACTGGGCATAAATTAAAAAATCTATTCAATTAACCATAATTTGAGAAGATACAGTTTTGTAATTATCACCAATGCCATCATTCATATATTCACTGATGATTATGACAATTGGTGAATATCCAAGTAATTTTTAAATTGTTTCAGAAGTAAATTGAGAATGTACTGCAAATCACTTCTGGTGTAAGAGACTCAGCCGTCTACAAAGACGTTGCCCAGGGGATGCCCGGAGGTGTTATCATCCTGTGTGAGGTTTCTCATGTCCCTGCATTATAAGCTGGAGCTGACAGATGGGAGCTCACCCCATCTTGCAGATCTCAACCACTGACCTTCAGGTCAGCAGTTCAGCCAGCATAAGGGTTTATCCCATTGTGCCACTGCAATGGGTCCAAGTAATTACTGGACCCACCAAATTGACTTTTTAAGATGGTAAAACGTTGTGAATGAGGAAGGAGGAGAGAGGCTGCAGCAGTTTGCTTTTGCCTGATCCAACTGGGAAGGGCAGAGGATGGACTGGGACTGTATTTGAAAAACTGGGAAAGTTGGAAGATATTGGACATAATAATAATAATAATAATAATAATAATAATAATAATAATTTATTTATATTTTGCCCTTCTCACCCCGAAGGGGACTCAGGGCGGATCACAAGTACACATACACAGCAAACATTCAATGCCGTTTGTATAGACAGTACACAGAAGGAGGTGTTTCAATGCCATGGATGGTTGGGCTCAAGGCCACAAGGGGTGCTGTGGTTCCATCTGCTATGACGCATTTTCTGATCTTTTTCTTCTTTATGGTGTTGTACAACACCTCCCCCGCTTTTAGCAGTACCTAATTTCTCTAATTACAGCTAAAGCTGCTTTCGAACTGCTTAGGTCAACAATGAGCAGGGCTGATGGTCGGCCGCTCACGCTGACCTGGGGCTTCGATCTTGCAACTGTTCGGTTGATAGATCTTATAGTTGCTGATGATTTACCAGCTGTGCTAAACTTCCGAATGTACACTCTCACTCATTGCTGTATACCTGGGCCGCTATTTATGGAAGGATTTTCCCCTGGATATATATATTATGACTCAGCTATGATCATATTAGCCATTCCAGCAAATCATCCGCTCAATCAAGGAAAACATGGAGGCAAATGAATCTGACATTTGGACATGTCTTTGGAGTCTAAAAACAAATTAAAGCGGTGCCTAGGTTTGGTACGATTCAATTATGATGTTGGAACACAGCATTTGATTCATTTTCTTTCTGAAGGACACAGAACCCTTTCTCGGAACCAGTTGAAGGGTTTGCTGGATGATTCATTCCCAGGCATTCTATAAATGCGGTGTAAGAGCAGAAAGCACATGAGGCTCGTCGCCGTTGTTTTTTCGTCTCTTTAAGACCATATTTCCCTTCGAAGTTTAGTTGCCTTTCCAAAATATTTGGAAAAATTGCAAAAATTGTTCAACCTTAGTGGAGAAAATAAATTCAGAAACTAACGCCTTCAAATAACCCTTTCTTTTCTAATCCTTTCCATTCCACCAAGCTAAGAAAGAACGAAACATGGAGATGGAAATATTGAATTCATTTTTTCCCCCTGAAATCATAGAATTATAGAATCAAAGAGTTGGAAGAGACCTCATGGGCCATCCAGTCCAACCCCCTGCCAAGAAGCAGGAATATTGCATTCAAATCACCCCTGACAGATGGCCATCCAGCCTCTGTTTAAAAGCTTCCAAAGAAGGAGCCTCCACCACACTCTGGGGCAGAGAATTCCACTGCTGAACGGCTCTCACAGTCAGGAAGTTCTTCCTCATGTTCAGATGGAATCTCCTCTCTTGTAGTTTGAAGCCACTGTTTCGTGTCCTAGTCTCCAGGGAAGCAGAAAACAAGCTTGCTCCCTCCTCCTTGTGGCTTCCTCTCACATATTTATACATGGCTATCATATCCCCTCTCAGCCTTCTCTTCTTCAGGCTAAACATGCCCAGCTCCTTAAGCCGCTCCTCATAGGGCTTGTTCTCCAGACTTGTTGTTTAATAGAACAACAATTCTATTATAGCCCTTGCTCCCAAGGAGAAATGCCATTTTCAGGACTGTTTGGGAATGCACATTTGAAACAGGTGCATGTTTTTGAACGGCTAGGTTGGCAGAAGCTGGGGCTAACAGCGGGAGCTCACCACACTCTGCAGATTTGAACCACTGACCTTTCGGTCAGCAAATTTGGCAACTCAGCGCTTTAACCCACTGTGCCACTGGGGGCTCCCTAATAAGCAAAATATTAACCAGAAATAAATTCAGAACACAGTCATCTTTCCACATTTGCTGGGGTTAGGGGCATAGACCCCGTGAAAGTAAAAAATCCCACCCCACCCCCATCAAAATATCACTCTTTAGTAATATCTGGCTTCTCTATGGTCAGCTTATGCAGGTCAGCTTTGGCAGATGTTAAGAGATTTGTGTAAAATGTTCTCTCTACGAATCTTTAGGTCCTCTACTACAACCCTGGTTAGCTTCAAACAGAGGCTGGATGGCCATCTGTCGAGGGTGTTTTGAATGCAATATTCCTGCTTCTTGGCAGGGGGTTGGACTGGATGACCCACGAGGTCTCTTCCAACTCTATGTTTCTATGAAATGTGGAGGGACAACTGTACAATGTTCTTCCCTGATGCATACGTACTTATGGTGAAGTTGAAACCACAAATTAGGTACAGTAAGAGATCAACAACAACTTCACACAACTCTATAGTTGGCTTCCATCACATTAAAGGACCCAGAGAATATTTATCTCAGAATTTCTAGGTTGTCCATGATGGCTAATACGATTAACCTTCAGAAGAAGTTGACTGTTGCATTGCACTGGAGGACCTATAGAGTCGTAGAAATAACATTTTAATCAAATATGTGAATAACCAGATCCGCAAATGTGAAAGGCCAACGATAGTCTGCTCCTTCTCTTCTTTCCTTCTTACCTGTCCCGTCTTCCAAATGACCAAAGTTGCAGATCTGGGTGATGTGGTGGACCCATGCTTGCATCTCCTCCTCGGACTTGGCCACCAGATAGAAGGTGCGGTACGCCGTCTTCACAACAAAGACAAAATTGTTCTGGAACTCCTTCTTGATGAAATTCAGTCCGGAGTGCTTGACCACCTCGCACTCGTTCAGGTCGATGACCCGAATGGGCTTCTTGGAATGGCTGTTCCGGTAGTACTCCAGGACATCGGGGTTGCCACTCATGCGGCCTTGGCGCAACACGAACCAACGCTTCCGCCAAGCCTGCGGAAGGAAGAGCAACAAAGAAGGCATCACTGATGGGAAACAAAAGAAAAGGACTTATTCCAGGTAATAATAATAATAATAATAATAATAATAATACTTTATTTGTACCACGCTACCATCTCCCCAAGGGACTCGGTGCAGCTTACATGAGGTCGAGCCCACAAAACAACAATAAGCAATAACAACAATAATACAAAACAATAAATAAACTCATAAGCAAAACTAAGCAATAAACATTAACAATAACACGGCGCGTTTAAAAACCTATGGCTCGCCAAATGCAATAAATACAAATTTTAAAAAATAATGCTGGGCATGACAAGGTAACATGTAACTGGGATAGAAATTTTGGAGAGGGAGAAAATGTGCAGACAATCTTAGATCATTAATAAAGTGTGTTTAGGGACATATTGCTGGGAGTTTCCTTATTCTGGGAAGGCACACTGAAACAACCACGTTTTCATGCTCCTCCTAAACACTGCCAGAGTTGGGGCTTGCCTAATGTCCTTGGGGAGTGAGTTCCAGAGTCGAGGGGCCACCACCGAGAAGGCCCTATCCCTCGTCCCCACCAATCGCGGTTGCGATGGAGGTGGGATCGTGAGTAGGGCTTCTCCAGATGATCGAAGAGATCGTGTGGGTTCGTACACAGAGATGCGGTCACGCAGATAGGCGGGTCCCAAACCGTTTAGGGCTTTGTAGGTAAGTGCTTGCACCTTGAATTGGGACCGGTAAATGAACGGCAGCCAATGGAGCTCCTTAAACAGAAGGGTTGACTGCTCCCTGTAAGGAGCTCCAGTTAACAACCTGGCCGCAGCTCATTGAACCAGATACAGGGCATTTGGGGTTACTTTCCACTACATCCATGGAAAGGTTATGGGCCCAGGTGTTGCACTCCAGAACAGGAATAACCTTCTGACTTTAAAACACCACACGTTGAGTAGGAAAACAATCCTTTTTATTAAAGACAACTAAAAACAGCAAGGTAAAAATATTTGCTTTAATAAAGTAGATAAGTCCAAATAAGGTTGGATGATAAGCAGGAACAAAGTATTTCAAGGCAGTGTTCAGCAAAGTTCAAAAGCAAAGTTCAGACTTTTGTAATAAAATCCAAAAGGAAAACAGGAAAACATTAATCCACAGCATAAGTACATAATCCCAAGAGACAAAGAGTCAAACCACGAACAAGAAATCCTTAACATGAATCTTCCAAGCAAGGCTTCCATAGAACAAGAACGAGGACTTAGCAGGATTCTGAAACGATGCTTCATCTAACTATTTTTTCCCTGGTGAGAACTTTATATCCCAACACCCAGAAACTGGTTTCATTTTCCTTGACTGCCTCTCGCCCTTATCTCTTGAAGCCTAGTAGAACGGCGAAGGCCTTGGCTGAGCTGTCTGTTTTGGCTAAATCCCACCTGTCTGTCTATGTACTTATTATCTATCTGCTCATTATTTTCTCCAGGTGTCAAGTTGTTTTCAAACCCCAAATCTTGGGAACTCTCTGGGTCAGGGAGTAAACTATCATCCCTATACCCTGTAGGAACATTCTCATGGGAAACTACCCTTTGAATCGGTGTCCCTATGTCATTCTCTGCATTAATATCATTGACCAAACCATCTCCATCTTGACCCTCAGTGACATCATTCCCATCAGAAGCACCTTGATCCTGAAACACAAACACAGGCTGAACTCCAACACCAGGAGACAATAAGTAAATGGTCATGGGTTTAGAATACCAATTATCAACTTTCAGCAGGATATCCATGGAGTTGCATCAGAGAAACTAAAGATTATTTCAAGTTAAAAAGGAGATAATTTTAATTAATAGTTTTCATTGCAGTCCTGTACCCCAACTCTTATAAAATTAGATGACTTATGCACAATTATCTTGAAAGTAGCTCAGGTAGGTGCTTGAACATGAGCTTTCTTTATCCAGCTGCGAAGAGCATCCCCACATTTATTTTTGAATTCCTGGAAATGATTCTGTAATTGCTCTGAAGCTCTGATGCACATTTACCGAGCCATTTGCTTTTAGTGGCCTCAGAGCAGCCTTTCGAGGCACCACTGAAGAGCGAGCATTGATTTGCATTAATTGGTATCCATCCTCCACAAAATGAGGCACAAAGCAAAACAGAGACACAGATCATAGAATCATGATTCTATGATCTGTATCTTTGTTTTGTCCAGATGATCTAGTGATCTGGTCCCTGCATTTGACCAGATGGTCCTGGTCAAATGCTGGGAGTTCAATCTGGCTACTCGCTGCTGGCATATGGACCACTGATGGCCTTTTCCATCAGGTCCACTTACACCTAAGGGGACCCCATAAAGCAATGATTCTCAACCTGTGGGTCCCCAGGTGTTTTGGCCTACAACTCCCAGAAATTCCAGCCAGTTTGCCAGCTGTTAGGATTTCTGGGAGTTGAAGGCCAAACATCTGGGGACCCACAGAAATAATACAAAGAAATCAAAGCACAGGAGGAGAATCAAAAACCAGAAATACGAAAGCAGAATAAATCCAAAACATGGAATTCTAGGTCCAGGGAAGTCATGCTACCCTTCTATTATGTCTTGGTTAGACCACACCTGGAATATTGTGTCCAATTCTGGGCACCACAATTGAAGAGAGATATTGACAAGCTGGAATGTGTCCAGAGGAGGGCGACTAAAATGACCAAGGGTCTGGAGATCAAGCCCTATGAGGAGTGGCTTAAAGAGCTGGGCATGTTTAGCCTTCAGAAGAGAAAGCTGAAAGGAAATATGATAGCCATGTATAAATATGTGGGAAGAAGTCATAGGGAGAAGGGAGCGAACTTGTTTTCTGCTGCCCTGGAGACTAGGACGTGGAACAATGGCTTCAAACTACAAGAGAGGAGATTCCATCTGAACATGAGGAAGAACTTCCTGACTGTGAGAGCCGTTCAGCAGTGGAACTCTCTGCCCCAGAGTGTGGTAGAGGCTCCTTCTTTGGAAGTTTTTAAACAGAGGCTGGATGGCCATCTGTCGGGGGTGCTTTGAATACAATTTTCGTGCTTTTTGGCAGAGGGTTGGACTTGATGGCCCATGAGGTTTCTTCCAACTCTATGATTCATAGAATTCTATGATTCTAGGATTCTATGATGGCGATTCTGGGTCTGCAAGTCAGCAGAGGAGTCAGAAAGAGGTTTTAAGCCCTGAAAATGAGCGGTCTGTGTCTGAAGGCCACATTCCTGAAAGACAGTTCGCTAGGGAAGCAAGGTCAGGAACAGATCTGAGCTCAGGGGATGGTGATAAAAGTCCAGGTGGACAGGCTAATGAGCAGTTAGATAGGAGATTTACGTTCTGTCAACATAGGGCTTCTTAAGAGAGAGTATGAAGGTCAAGATGCTTATTATACAAGAAATCTTTATCAGTTTCCCAAAGGAGATGGCATGATTTTCTCTCTATATTAGCTAACTCAGCAGATGGGTTCATTAGTCCAGGAAACGTTGGTGCTGAGTAAAGATCTATGGTCAAGTCAAAGGATTTCTAGTTTCATGTTTCATTTTGGTTCTTGCTTCATGATTCCTAGTTTGAGGACTGTTCCTGAATTTCATGTTTTGGATTTATTCTGCTTTTGTATTCCTGGTTGTTGATGCTCCTCCTGTACTTTGATTTCTGTGAATTATTCCTGATATTTGTACTTTATTTTTTGTAATACTATTTTGATGAATTGCTTTTCATATATATTGCTTTGCTATTTTACCTTGGACTGGAGTGTGTGTTAAGTACAGAGGTGGTTCCCAGCCTTAGAGTGCAACAAGGTTTTGCAAACTCAAGGCTTCCTTGATTGAATCTATCCATCTGGAATGGGTAGGCAATCCCTCATTGCTCAATCTTTTCCTACTTCCATCTCGCTCGGTCAAACACTATTATGTTTTCTAGTGAGCATCTCATGATATGTCCAAGAGACAATAGCCTCTGTTTAGTCTTCTTAGCTTCTTGTGAGAGTTCAAAACTCAATTTGCTCTAAGACCCATTCATTTTCCTTGTTCTCTTTCCATGGCAATAATAAAAACAACAACAACAACAACAACAACAACAATAATAAAAAACAACCCCACCACCATCTCCTCAATGGGAACTCGGGGCAGCTTACATGAGGCCAAGCCCAACAACGCAATACAATAAATAGGACTTCTTCCAGCACATTCTACATTTTCAAAACCATACACATAAATACTATGGACAAGGATATTCCTGGATTCAGAGATAGTTTGGATTTTTTTTTTTTTTTAGATATGGAAATCCTGCAAAGTGGTCCCAAGCATTCGGATAAAGGATGCTCTACTCGTACAAGGTTTCATTTTCTATTTAAAAAAAGAAAACCAGGAAAATAAGACCCACTCTGTTGTTCCGCCAACAACTTTCATTACTTCGGAGCAGGAAATGGAGGAAACAGCTGCCCGCCTTTCCTGCAACGGGACACTCTAGGCATTGCAGGAAATGCCACGACTGCCTCCCTGCTTCCTGAAAGGCCGAAAGGGAAGGCGAGGTTACAACAACAGAGTGGGTGTCTATGTCTACACTGCAGAATGAATACAGCCTGACACCGCTCTAACTGCTGTGGCTCAATGCTATGGGATCACGAGAGTTATAGTTTTGTAATGCCTTTAGCCTTCCCTGGCCAAAAGTGCCAGTGCCTCAGAAAGCTACAAATACTATGATTCCACGGCACTGAGCCATAGCAGTTCAAGTGGTGTTAAACTGCATTCTGTAGATTAATGGTTCTCAACCTGTAGGCCATGGCCCACTGGTGGGCTGCAAGACCTAAAATAAGGTCTGGGGCTCTAGTTTATTAAATATGGTTTTCTGTGGGTGAGCATATGGTGACTACTGGATGGCATATGTTCTGTATCAGAAACTAGAGCTGATGTGGTCTATCCAAGGAAATTTTTTGTATCAGCACCCCAAATAACCAAACCAAATCAAAAATTGATTGATAACCCTTTTGGTACTAATGTTGGAGAGTGGTCCC